ATAACGCGCGTAGGCAGTTGTCCAATTATGGTATAGTACCGTTTTTTGTCGGACACGATACCTGCCGCTTCAAATGCCGCCTCGACTTGACAGAACCATAGGTCGGTATGTTCCTCAACGAAATCTGGGAGCTTAACTTTCCCTTGGTCCAGCGTGTCCACTCGCATTGATGCCTGTTGCTCTGGAGCCGGTGTCTCTTGCTCATCGTTGGGCATGTTTTTATTTTCGAAAAATTTCTCACTTGTGGGGGTAGCCRGTATGTTCTGCCGCTTCGTCGGAGTCGCCCCTCTTTAAAGATCACGTCGGGGTCACCAGTATGGGTTTTATGGTCGTCAGCTTATGGTTGCTTCCGATTTTGTTGGCTTTTCCTTGCCTTGATTAAAACACGTGCTTCAACTTTTACCTAACCAATACTTTTATTTGGAAAGTGGCGTGTTCTGGGCGAACAGGTGTGAGAGAATAAAAATGGTGTGATCACTGTAAGAATGCGCAGAAGAATGAAAGAATAATGGCGGTTCTGTTAACTGCGGTGCAGATAAATTAATGAGTGCTGCCAAACCATCGAATTGATGGTGCTGCCCTTTGGTGTTAGGTGTGTTCGCGTTCTACACTGCCACAAATACTTTTGGTCGGTACTAAGCTCTTCCCTAGCTATTTCAGGTAATATTGTAGGTATAACGGTAAATTCGACTGTCGGCATTGTTTGTTAAATGTAATAAAAGATGACGTAGCGGTAACTCATTTGAATGCAATTGACAGATAAACCACTGTAACGGCCTGYTGAATTCTTCCTCCAACAGACGAATAACACCACCTTTGARACCTGTATTCACTACAGTTCCATCGCACCCAACAACAGCTAATTCACTCACATTTACCGACTTAGATTTCAAATATAATAATATTGAGTCTTTGATATTTTTAGCAGTTCCCGACTCACAGGTGACATGACCAACATAGTTGCTTCCTGGTTCCGATAAAATCACGTACTGATCTTCCATTTGTCGTTTTCTGTAAAATTTTCCTTCTTTATCAATCCGAGCCAAAGTCTTATCTTTCCTTCTATCAAAATACAGACCACGAAGGATTCTATTGCAGTCCGCTTCTTGTAAAGTTGATCTGACCTTAGTTCTTTCACGGCGCAACTTTGAACGATCAATGACATAACTTGAATCGTTCGACGAAATAATACCAACGTCTTTTAAGAGAGAAGAAGCTAAAATTGCAGCGGCTCTGTCCGAGACTCCARTACGATCGCATGCAAGGGCTAATGATGGTAAATTTAATCTATTTTTTCTCAGAGGTGGTGTTAACTTTCCCTTGCCATGTTGTAGGTCTTTTTGATTAGGACTAGTTTGTACGAAAGAACTATCACATGAGCAGATGCYTTCATCGGAAAAATCGTCAGCCAAAGAAAGTGAACAACACGGTTTGGCTAAATAGTGTGCCTCTGTGTAAATAAACTTTTTTCTTTTCTATCTTGTTTTTTTCTTATTCCTCACAGTTGAAGCTATATCGACACCGCCTATCATCATTCTTCTGTTAGATCTTTGGTCGAGTAAGAAACTTACTTCCTCCTTGGCAACACGACACCCTTTTAAACATTTTTATTTTTTTAAATCAAACCACTTTATTTGACTGCAAACTTAAGACTGCACAGAATTGACAGATTGCATTCAGTTGCTATAATACCGTTATTTGGATATTGTTGACCTGGGAGTTTGGAAAGTGAGTGCCTGGGAAAATTAGAATAACATATAGACTGTGGGAAGTTTTGGAATGTGGGATTTAGAATGTGAAATTGAAGTGCGAAACTTAGCTATGTTATTATAAGAAAAAAATAGAAAGCTGTAAGTAGGAGGACCTGCCCGTTAGAATTAAGAACTCTTTCTTGGAGAGGCTTCCTTAGAGGTGTCTAGGAACCTATATTTCAGACTACCAAACGAAAAAAAAATTGTTGCTTTATGAATCACCCTAATATACAAACAGGTATACGGTTTGGAAATCTTATATTAGGTGTATGGAATACGCATTACTACTTATTACACAGTACAACAGTTAATCTGGGGGGTGAGAAATTCCAAGTCAGGGTGATGGTACTAGGTCAGTGTAGTAAAACCCTCAAAGGGTTTGGCGTTCGTACGGGTCAGTTAAATTTTTTCCTTATTTCCCATGGATCATTCTCGGAAATAGGTTTTTTTTTTTTTTTTTTTTTTTTGGGGGGGTTTTGCCAAAATGTTACATCTAAGCGAAAAAACATCAAGAAAGGGGTCATAAGGTCATAAAAAACTAACACATAGGAACGCCAAACCCTTTGAGGGTTTTACTACACTGACCTAGTACCATCACCCTGACTTGGAATTTCTCACCCCCCAAACAATAATCCCAAAAATGTTCCACAGTGCTATCAACAGAAAAATATGATCTCTGAATATTATTTAACCTTTATTATTCTATTGTAGACAAAGATGCATCGTTCGCAAAAAATACGCTCACTTAATATTTACTAATACTGCTCTCATATTTGCTGAAGTATGCGTTATAAAGTTAGCCGAAAGTTCGAAAATCTTTCTATATGGGGGATTCGATTAAATTGTTGATATATAAGCACACTGTTACCAAAAACGGACTATCTTTGAATTTCTATAAATTGAAAACTGGGGCCCACATATTCGGTAACTGATAGATTTATTACTTTTAGTAGATTTTCAATTCAAAGAGAATCCTATCTTGTTAATAGTGTCTCTATGTATCAAAACTGAGTTGAATCTGGTCAATATTTCGCTGAGCCCCCATATACCTAAGTTAAAGATATCGGCCAATATTTGAATTATCTCAATGAAAATTAGAAAGCGTAGTTTACTCAAAACAGTGTATCTTTGTGCCTAAATTAAATAAAATTGGACGAAAAGTTGACCTACCCCAATACAGCTAACATACTAATATAGAGTATATGTCGAAAAAGTCGTTTCGTATTTTTTAAAAGATAAGGTTGCAGTCGTATATCTCCAATGCTACCAATATCGTTGTGTTCGTATATCGTGTTGCAAAAGTGAGATTTTAAACTTCATTTAACCAAAAAAATTAATATAATAATAAAAAAATGTAATTCGGTAAGTCGAAAAAAATTAGAGCTGTTCAAAAATGATTAAAATTAATGAAGAAATCCACTGTATTTTGAAATTTTTGTATAAAAAAAGGAAGAATGTCAGGCAAGCCACCAATGAAATTTGTGAAATTTACGGAGACGATGCTGTATCAGTTCGTGTAGCACAACAATGGTTCTGGAAATTTCGATTTACACTGATGAAAGTCTAACAGTGATGGAATAATATCTCTAGCGGGAAAATGAAAACATAAATCGACTAAAATGGTACATATTTGCTTATTTATATATTATTCTAAGTATAAAAGAAATAAGTAAAAATATGATTATAAATACGAAAAGACTTTTTCGACTACCTAATATACATATATAAATTTTTTTGGATTCTGATCCCTGGCTTTCATTTTTGCAAGTTACATGAGTATAAAATGTTCGTTTGCACCCGAACTTGCCTCTTCCTTACTTKCTTTAAAGAGTGAATAAAATTACGTATGACTATTAAATATTTTATTTCTGTCCAGGAATCAAGTACAGATGAATATGAATGCGTATAACAACTATAATCAATACAATAATAATTATAACACTGTTTCTTCAAATATGTGGAGCAATCGAACAGGTTCGCGTCGAAACTCCTTAAAGTCGTACTCTGCACCACCACCACCGCCTATGCCGCCCGTAAATATGGTATACCGCAATGACCAGATTCCTGTCTCTTATACACATCTAGATGTGTATAAGAGACAGGTTTCTTCAAATATGTGGAGCAATCGAACAGGTTCGCGTCGAAACTCCTTAAAGTCGTACTCTGCACCACCACCACCGCCTATGCCGCCCGTAAATATGGTATACCGCAATGACCAGATTCAGGCCCGTACAATGCAGCAGAACCCGAACCAATTAAATCGTATAAACCAAAACTATCAACAACGGTCTTCGTTTGTACCTTCAGATCCAATAAGAGAATTAAAGGACATTGTGCGTCGTTCTAATGATGGGGATGTAGGTTGGATAAGTGGTATTTTATGACTAATTTATATAAATATATATCTCACTTTATTTACATGTAACTGTTTATTAGAGTCCTGAAGAACCTCCGTTTAATTTTAAGGCAATGCTACGTAAAACGAATTATTCTCGTTCCGATTCTACTGTTTATGAATTTAATAATCAGATGTCCAATAATAATAACGAAAATATAAGCTTTCAACCATCTAAACTCCGCTCTACTAGTCGCCGTCCCGATGATTATAATAATCACAAGTTGAATTCAAATGATCAGCATAATTTTGAAAACCGAGCACCATCTCTACAGCTGACGGCTGTAGGAAGAAGTTTCGATAACACAGATGCCAAGTCGTTTGAGGAAGCTGGTTCATATGTTGAGGAGGAGATTGCACCAGGTGTTACATTATCTGGATACGCCGTTGATATTTAATACCTTCTTTTAGAAGTTTTTCTAGTGTATATAACGTAATTTCCTGCAATATTGTGGTAGCCAAGAAAGTCCTCGTCTTACCAATAAAAATATAACATGAACAAAAACCCACGGCCTTTCTAATTTATATACTTCGACAAGAAAATTGGGAGGTAATAGAAAAAATTATTTCTTTTAATAAAAAAATTATTTATTTTTAAAATTAGAATTTACGCAATGCGAACAGCAGAGTTGCAAAAATTAAATAACTATAAGATAATTTTTATGGATTATTGGAACAATTTAAAAAAGTTATCAAACTGTTAATCACGCGTTGAACATACATATATGCGTATAATACTTATCGCAATCAAATAGAGGGTGATCTATTTCGAGGTTCCCWACACAGAAACTGCAAATTAAATGAGGACTGTTTATTATCATTCTTTGAAAGTTTTTTAAAGGTTATCTCTTATAATGTTGTCCGCGGCTACGTCTCAGAGGTTCCATCTGATGAGTCCAATTTTCGAAAATTTTATTACGAATATACTTGTATATTGAAATGTTTATTGCCTACCAACGGGCCGTCCATATAGTTAGACATTTATCAAATTTTCGTTAAATATTTTCTTCTTCTTCTTTACTGGACTGGCATAGAAGCCGCCGCTGTTTTTAATTCGCTGAATAATGTTAATGTTGTCATATATCCCGTTCGACTCATCAGGTATTGTCCTCGTCTATGCTTCTGCACCATATAGCAATACGTGAATAATCATTGACTTATAGAGCTTTATTTTTGTTCGTCGAGAGAGGGTTTTACTGCTCAATTACCTACTTAGTCCTAAGAAGCAACTGTTGGCAAGAGATATTTTGTTGTTGTTGCTGTTGATGCTGGTTCCAAGAATTATCTATGACTTCGAAGTTATGACTGTCCACAGTGATGTAACTGCGGGTATGACGACTGTTTGTTTAATGACAGGAAAGAATTCTTCTTGCCCTCATTTGCTTCGCTGCCTTATCCACGTCAGTTTCATTACATATTTTATGCAATTACAATTCTCAACGCTATGTTTTCGGATCATTATAACGTATAAATTAAATATATAAAAATCATAGGGTATTATTTTCGCATTCTAATACAAATTATAAACAACAAGATGAAAAGTGTTAATTTATTATGATAGTATGGTATAAGTTGATATGCAGTGATTACGAGCATTCCGTTAGCACACAAGGCTCACGTGAATGCATTCGGTGATATTTACGATGAGTGAAATTATTCAACAAAGAATAACCATTCAAATTTGTGAGCGGAACAAATTTCTAGTGCGGAAACGTTTAAAATGTTGGAAAAGGCCTTCGATGATAATTGTTTGTCGCGATTGTTTTTGATTGGCACAAATTATTCAAAGAGGGTCAAGAGCACGTTGTCCGGGACGGCCATCAATATCAACTGATGATCATCACTTTAATAAAATAAAGGCATTGACGATTAACAGAAAAAGATCTTATTATCGTAGTTGGAATGTCGGAAGGATTAGTGAAAACCATTGTGAAAGATTATTTGGAGCTAAGAAAAGTGAAAGTACGTTTGGATCCAAAATCACTAAATTTTTTCGAAGCATAGCATCGCATTAAAATCTGTGACACAATGTATTATTACTAGTGATGAGTCTTGGATCTATGCTAACGACCCGGAAACAGACGATGTAACACTAATATCGTGCCAAAGGGGAAACCGTGAATCGCTAAGCGAATTGAAGACTATTCCAGAAAATGACTTTATGAACTGTTTTCATAATTGGAAAGAATCTTATCATTTTTTGCTCTTAGTAGTTATATAATTTTCGATACGCTTATTAAAATGTTACCGGCACTCACCTTAGTTTCCAATTGGAGCGAACGTAAAATGGTTTTTTTTTCGATGCGTGTATGCGCGCGGATGTAGAACAAAAGAGGCTCGACGCCGTCCGCCAGTCCCTTTTGTTAATTGTGTGCTGGTGTCCTCGTGTGTGGTGTGAAAATATGGTGTAGATGATGATGTGGTGGGCATCATGCCGATGTGTTGAGAATGAGGTGTGTAGTGTGGGATGAAAATAGGATGCGCATGATGCCAATGTGTTGAGTATGGTGTGTGTAGTGTGGGGTGAAGATGAAGTGTGTATGTTAATAGGGGGGGCTCAGAAGCTCATTTAGCCATCAAGGCGCTGGAGCTGTTGTAGCGTTACCACAACGCTGCTCAGCCCTGTAGACCGACAAAGTGGTGGTCCACGTGGGGTGCGCCACGAGCTGCGGAGTGGAATCGGGGAATGCGGCCGCGATGGAGGGAGCAGCGTGTGATGCGGCCTGTGGCATAATTGGGACAGCCCTCGTGACTCACACTCCGTAGGTGACAGGTAATTGTGGCAATGCCCGTGTGCCTGGGCAACTTGTTACCGTTGCACGGGTCGCATACCCCTAAATATCCCACAATGGTGCAGGTGCTGTGGGCGTCGACAGATGGGGCACCTTAGGGTCCCCGACGTCCGTGATTGGCGTGGTGGTGGTCGAGTGCCACTACGAGGTGCGGATGGAAGGACCGCTGCAGGCGCGGTTGCCGGTACAGGTGCCRGCGTTGTTGCAACCACAGTTCAGCGCGCTTTGGTAGCCCGAGCGGTTGGCGTGGTTGTGACTGGCGTATCTACTTCCATAGTAATCTGTATAGAAAAGATTGTTGATTATTAATCTATCATACAATGAGATATGAGCCATCGTCAGACGATGTGTGGCATGAATGGGTCGTCGTATTGAACGACCGTTTTTTGTTAGTTTTATTTTTTTATTTTTCGACAGTTTATTATGTTTTAGCGGTTTGTYATTGGCGTATTTCTCTTTTTAGTGATAAATTTAGTGATTTTATTATATCGCGATTTTATCCGTTTTGTTTTTGTGGTTTTCGGATTCGCGGTCGTCGGTGGTTGGTAAAAAGCATAGCTTCACGAGCGGTCTGGTTAAGGTTCCGTTTTGCATACGGAGATCCACGACTCGTATGCGACCGTCGGAGCCATAATGTAGCTTTTCTATGCGGCCAAGCCGCCACTCGGTAGTTGGTAGACAATCATCGTGAATGATGACACAGTCCACAAGTTTAGGAGTCTTCCAGCGGTATCTTTTGTGGAGATCCTTTATGTATTCGTCCTTCCATCGGCGGCTGAAATCATGATGGAAATTTTTAATTCGTTCCCATCGATTAAATAGGGATAGCGACTCCACGCCTGGCTCGGGAATGGCCAGGATGGGTCCTCCTTTTATAAAATTCCCTGGAGTTAAGGCAGTGAAATCTGAGGGGTCTTGCGACAGTACTGTGAGCGGCCGTGAATTGAGAACGGTTTCAATTCGATTTAACAACGTCGTGAATTCTTCGTGATTTAACGTTTRAAATGATATTTGAAGCTTTTTACAGCTGATTCCCATAAACCGCCCATATGAGGAGCGCCAATTGATACCTTGAGGGGCGTACTTTTGTACGATGTCGGGTGACACTTGTTTTAAGAAATCCACAAATTGCTTTTCTGTGGCTCGTTGAGCTATAATAAAAGTTTTGCCATTAACGCTCATGATTTCAGATGGGTAGCCACGTCGAGCGACGAAGCGAGCAAATGCCGCGAGAAAAGCCTCCGTCGTCAGATTACTRCATAGCTCAAGGTGTACTKCCTTTRTCGTGAAACATACAAAGGCAGCCACATAGCCTTTCATGAGAGTGGGAGACCTTAACATAGACGCCTTTACCTGGAAGGCCCAGCAAATCAACACCTGTTGTGGTGAAAGTTAGAGCGAAATTGCAGCGTTCTGGTGGAAGTGCTGCCATAATCTGCGTTCGCATCTTCTATTTGTGCACAGTGCAAATCTTGCACATGAAGATGCACTTCTTGATTTGCGGCTTAAGAAGGGGGATATAATACTCTTGGCGTACCATATGTTGCATGAGGCAATGTTCGGCGTGTAGCATTAAGATGTGCACGTAGTTGAGGAATAATGTGGCAAATGGTGACTTCTCGGGAATTATTATAGGGTGGCATTCATTGTAAGTTAGGTTCAAATTAGCAAGCCGACCATTGGCACGAAGCAGACCTTTCGTGTCCAGAAATGGGTTTAGAACTAAGAGTGATCTCTTTTTGTCAATCGGCTTTGATTCTCTTAGTAGTGATATATCGCGGCTGAAGTAGCGCGCTTGTGTATATGCGATTAGTGCGACCTTTGCTTTTTGTAACTCTAGGTTGGTCACTGTATTGCATGGGAAATTATGTGATTCCTTGAATTTGCTTTTGAGCTGTTCTATAAATTTGAACATATAAGCAACTACTCTGAGAGCTCTTGGAAACGACGAAAATCGTTCAAGGATGTCGGTATCATCCAATAATGTGTGAAAGGTGGCGATTTTTCGCCCTTCTGGGGCGATAATGTTGCCCATGGGAGATTGTGGCCAAGAATCCTGAGATTCTATCAACCATCGGGGGCCATTCCACCAGAGGGTGGTAGTGGCAAGGTGCAGTGGCTTGCACCCTCTTATACCTAGATCGGTAGGATTGTCAACACTGGCTACGTGACGCCATGTGGCTGATCCCACTAGGTCAAGTATTTGAGACGTTCGGTTAGAAATATACGTATTCCATGCATGTGGTGGTTTTTCCAACCAGGCTAGTACAATTTCTGAATCGGACCACACATATAGTTTGCATTTTGTGGTGTTTAAAGCATTTGCACCATGGCTACTAATTTAGAAAGTAGTAGTGCGCCACATAAGTAGTCGTGGGAGACTCAAAGTTTTCAAAGGTGCCACCTTTGAATTTGCTACTAATAAGTGGCTTGTGGTCCTGGTATCACTTTGCGTGCGCACATAGATAGTAGCGCAGTATGCCTTTTCAGAGGCATCACAGAAGCCATGTAATTCGACTTTGTGTTTGGGGGAGTAGTTCACCTATCGCGGAATTTGTATCTGAGAAATATCATTCAGATTGTTTGCGAACTGGGACCATTTTTCTAAGCGAAGAGGTTTCACTTGCTCGTCCCAATCGGTTCCGTCTAGCCATAATTGTTGTATTAAGATTTTAGCTTGAATCATAATTGGCGAAAGCCATCGAGCGTGGTCGA